CTGCCATGGGCAGCCTCCCCGCTTCCCCACCCCAGTGCTCCCCCTCCCTTGTGGTGTCTGGGCAGCCCCCCAGCTAGCTGAGTTGAGGAGTCGATCTGTCTGAAAGTGGCATTTCTTTTCTGGGCTGCTTTTCAGGCCAGGCATTTTTCTGATTGAATTCACTGTCTCGCTAACGTAGCTGGACACAACAGCGTGCAGGGGTGCAGTGTTACGGTAGCTTTGAGAAGGCGTGTTGCAGCCACGCGTCTTTGGAATTTATTTGAATAGATTTCAATCCTAGACCATTGCATTTCTGTAGCACAGAAATGGCACGCTAAGATATAAGCTGTTCTTCCCCCGACATACACGCACACGCATGTATCTTAGCAAAAAAACCAGTTTGTGCAGCTAGCTAATTGGTTCTTCATTAGCAGATATAATAGCTGGGATAAAAAAGCTCAAATTTGGCAGGATGTTGGGGTTTTGTGCCATTGAATATAGTAAAAGTTAATTGCACTTATAGAATGAAAAAAGAATAATTATGGAGCTATTAATTTACATTGTAGCTTTTCAGTGACTCGCTAAAGCCAGATGGCAAAACCAGTTGGAATTACTAAAGGTATTTCCTTGCTAAACAGATGAATAGAAGTTATCTGTTAAGAACACTAAGACGTTCTGCCTCAATAACTTAATCCCTGAAGAAGTGATGCTAAATATTTCAGCTCTTATGCCGGAAGATAACATCTGGAATGGGATGCCTGGATGAACAAGAACTTTTCAGCTCCTGTGCTGATCTAAAGCATTGCAGACAGTTCTTGTTTGACTCATAAGATTTCCAGAAGGGGCAGGAGCAACTGGATTGATGACATCCGCACATATCCACTGCATCAATTTTGTGAGTAGCTTTGTTAAACCCTAAGTCAAACAACACGTAGTGTTTGAATTTTAACTGCTGGTTGATCTTAGCTTAAAAAGACGACTGAGCATTCAGCACATATATACATACTAGAGATTTTATGTGAAAAACTCATTATTAGCTTGCTGTACTGGCAGTTATCTCACTCCAAAGCAAAAGTATACAGTGTGGCACAAGAGAAGATAATGGAGCTATAAATCGCCGTTGGCTTCATTCATATGAATGAAGTTGCAAATTATTACTGAATGCAGTGCAGAAGTAAAATGTAGGAAGCAAGGTCCACAGTGAGCATAAATTAGCATAACGCTGTTGAGTAGAAAGTCAGATGCAGTGCACAGAGACAAGGCACATGAGCTAAAGGTATGTGACATGGCCTAAGAAAGACTCTTCTATAGTGCTTATACATATATATCTATTCCAAACCTTGGTTTGATAGGGGATGTTTTTTCTTTACTCCAGGTGAAGATTATTTCAGAATTTGGCTATTTCAGTTTAAGGGTTGAAGAAAATCTTGTATATTTTCCTAGATATTATCATACCCTTCATTAAGAGAAAATATGCAGTCTCCATTCCTGGATTCTCACATAGGAATAACCAGTGCAAATTTGGATTTTCTCCCAGACAGCTGTTGCAGCAGACAAATCTATAATGATTCTGATTTAAATTCCTTGATTTTGGTGCCTTTTCTCCAGAAACCCATTTGCATGACTTACTTCCTCTCTCTGGCAGGCATGTGGCATTACTAAAGAAGCATAGCTATTTCTCAGCTTTCTCTTACTGGAGTTTCTTGAGTCTCATTGAGAGCTGTGAGGTGTTGGGGCCAGTGATGCTAAGTGGCCCGGCACCCATGTCTCTACTTTTTCTGTCCCTTCCTTTCCTGATTTAATGTCTATATTAAGACTTTCATCTGACAGGTCAGGCAGACTTTCAGACCCTATCTGGCAATCCTGGGTATAACATTTCTGCTCTGGAAGAAGAGAAAATGCAAATGTAACATTTACAGCTGTACCTCTTTTGGTGATAGTATAGAAATATAATCTTCATATATAAGTCGTGCTTTTTCTTCAATAACTTTCTTGTTCTGTTCCTTCTTTAGATCTTCACATGCAAGCCAGAAAAGCAGGTTCTCCTCACTATACTCTGTTCGAAGAAACTCTCTGAAAAGGTTCCTCCCAGCTGGTGTTTTCATCATCTTGTCAAAATTCTGAGCCCAAGACAAAATTTCATCTGCAGTAGGGTTTTGGCTGCAAAAGAAAAGTATCATTACAAATATGCTTCTATTTTTGTAACTGTGTTTTCATACATTCATCCAAAATTTGTCCTTTCAACTGCACTTGAGTCCCGAGTGAAAACTGGAAGCAACAAGGCTTCAGCAGTGACAGGGGGATTTTGTTCACTCTTCACTTGTGCATTCATTATCTCAATAGCCCACTGAACGTGCTTAATGTTATGAGACATGCACTTGGCTTTCTACAAGTTTTCTACTAGTGTTGTTAGCCATCAAACTCAAAGACAAAATCCCACAACAGCACTGAATTCCTGCCTCTGCGATTAAAGGAGATGTGATAACAGGGAGCTGGCAATAGACTCTCTTTCATGAGGGGTTTAGATGACACCTGATGTCTCTGCCTGCTTCTGATGGTGTTTGGCCAATCACTGGCTGCCACATGATTTGGTTCAGGAAGGACAAGAAAAACAAAAGGCTCCTGGCAGCCAAGAGCATACTAATGAGGCCTAACAAAATAGTAATTCAGAGAGCTTTTAAATTAGCATATTCCTCGGCGCTTGTACCTAAGGGTTGCTAAGCTTCCCTCTGTTTGGTGCTATTGACCTGAATGATGATCTATTGGCACAAGATGTGATGGATGTTGCTGGCAAAACCAGATAGAGAAGAAACAGGAAAAAGTCCTTATTGCCATTTTCTGAAGGAAACTATTCATGGCTTGTAACAGGGGATGCACTGGATAAGTGATCAGAAGATTAAATTGCGTCACTAACCCATAAATGTACCAACGAATAGCTTGAGAAGGTAATGCTCCAGGTTACTTAACAACAATTAAATATGATTTCAAACTTAGTTCTGAGTGTTCACCCTCCCCTTCTTGATAGGATCCAACACGAGCTTTACTAGATGTTGTTAATAGCTTCTCTGTAATCATGTTGCACAGTAAGTGATATTTATCTTCAAGTCCATTTGTCAACTCCTACTCTGCATGCAAGGCAGACTGGATGATGGGAAGCTATTTGTGATAGCTTTTCAGCCGTCTGAAAGATCTAATAAATGAGAAAGTGTTTAAGACTTAAAAGATCCATCAAAATAATTGTAATCTGAACCAAAAAGTCTAAACATACAGATTTGAAGGTGAAAGGTCCTCTCTCTGAGGAGAGTGAAAAGAACCTGCTGAGGTGGATGGAGCTGACAAGCAACCTGTGCTCCCTCATGGTCTATTGGGAAGCTCTCTTTGCTACAGTATTTTGTGGAAATTTCTGACATTGTCCTCTCATAAATGACCATGAGTAGCAAGGAAGACAATGAGTCATTTGAGTTGCTTTTACCATCAATCATATCCTCTCAAGTTAATTTTTAATTTACTTTTTATGGGATTAGAGAACTCAAGGCCACTGACAGGTTAGCATTTTTCCCAACACAGTAAATATGGGCCCAAGCTTTAGACAGAAATAGAAGCTCAGAGATTTCAGTGCGCATTAGTCTGTTTTCAAGGTATGTGTTTCCTTGGTTAATTCCAGTGAAACCATAGTCCACGCTGTTTTATGAATGGTAGCCATGCTAAAAATCTGACTATGAAGTATACTTGTGCCCATTAGTTTTTCTCCTTGTCTGGATAATCAGAAGAAAATGATCCCATGGGTAGCAGAGGCTTCTTGTAGAGACCCCCAGGTCTATGGAACCATCCATGCACCTCCCATTCCTCCCCACAATTTTTCCCCACAAATAAAAAATCATAAGTAAGCCTGACTTATGGATGTCTCTGCTGGCATTTCATTGTCAGGACAGATTTTGCTTCTTTTTGTACAGAGTTTTGTGGAGGAAAAGTAACTGAAAGAACATTTCTGAAGCATAAAATCCAAGGCAATTCTTGATAGTAGTTATAGGCAAATTAAAAACATTTACTAGACAACAGTTTGACCAACTTACCATTCTTCTATGACTTGGATACTCTCCATTTTGGTCGTATGTGTTGGCCTTCCTGCATTGTCTCCTCTATCTTCATTCCTAACAGTGAGGCTGCAATGTAGTACAACACTTTATTTTGTCTAGAGAAAGTTAATTTAAAACAATGACTATAGTAATGCAAACTTTTAAAAGATATAAACCTATGTAAAGTGTCATTTTTCACTCTTGCCTCTAAAGTTTTGGAGAGGAATTTTTGATGACTTTTCCCCTTAATTCTGACGAATATTAACTAACAGTTGCTATTAGCCTGTGTAATTTTTTTATGAGCTCACAGTTTATCCACTGAAAGATGGATACAGACTTAGAGGTCACTTTTGGAGTGATTTCATTTAGTAAATTGAGAATATTAGTAACAATAAGGGTAGGGGGGGATGAGAATTTCTGAATTGGACATTGATGAGGCTTTGGTGTCCCCCCAGTTCTGGATGGTTGTTCATTCTTAATGAAAGTTCCCTTTTTTCTCTCCAGGATACGGTGGCAGTAGATGGCTCAGATATAGAACTTAGAGTGTGGCAGCTCCTTATGATTTCCTCCTTTGACCTAAACTTCGTTTTCATTCTAAAAAGTAAAACTTACTGGCCTCTCAACAGAAAGGCATCCATTACCCTCACATTACCACAAGCAAGGAAAATAAAGACTTCCTTTATGTAAAGATGTTTTTATTTTTTTTTCCTTCTTTTCTGAGCTGGTAACTAGCATCACTTATTTTTCTGTAAATATATTTTTTATTGGATTTGCTTTAGTGGTAGTGACTTTCTCTATGTGTGCTCTCTATGAATGTTCTGGAACATGGTATTGCCAGAAAAACCACAATTCCTGATAACTACTGAAATAAAGCACGTTTTCAATGACATAAGTATTCATATAGGAAATATGGTTCCAATAATTAAGCTTAAGAAGTGGAATGTAGTAAGGAAATGGAGATTTCCCTTTCTCAGGTGTTACCTATGTGTCCAATTGAGAGAAAACAAGCAATCAAGCAAAAAATCCCCCCTCCCGACCCCAAGAGAGCTCATATTTTGAATATTGAGTATTCACCATACAGTGATGCTCTCAGTCATCCTATGTGGCCATATACAAAAATATGTTGGTAACATAAAACTGCTCCCTCCCCCACTAATCTGAATAACTTCTGCTCAGCTTTAAGAATAAATCCCAGCTTTGAGACATTTTTAGCACAAATAACCTTTCTTTCTAGCCCCTCTGTGTTTCTTCAACATTTTTTCAAGCGTTTGGCAGAGTACATAGGTGATCTCAAATACTCTTCTGAAAACTGGAAGTTTAAGCTCCCAGGTAAAGCAGAGCACATATTAAGACTTAAACATTACAAAGACGTACACTTTCAAACAAAGCTGTTTGATACTGGTTGCTCCTTCACTTACCTGCCAAGACCTTAGTTCAGGCCCTTGGTCCTGCTTCCCCTGTTACAGCGTGGGAATGCAGCTCCAGTGCTGCTAAGGTGTTAGGGTGTCATCAACTGCTGCAGGAGAAACAACACATCCTGAACTCTGGGGTTGGCAGGTAAAAAGCCTTTCCGTCTCCTCTGACCTGTTGCTCATCAGTCTATAGAGGGAGCACCCAGGAAAGCCAATGGGAGTTCCGTATACAGGAGGAGAAAAAAAAGGGACCATCCACTTTCTGTCTTGTAATCTTTAAGTCCACACGTGTAACTGCTTAGGGTCACCTTGCATCTGGCCGGAGCACAAAGTTGGGGTGAGGGAGAAGCAGGGAAGGCACAAAGCTTCTCTCTCGCCCTCCCTCCCTCCCTCCTTTGCAGTCCGTAGGTAGAGCAGCATTTGTCTTCTCTGCTGGGTGCAGAGAACTGAGTGTCCTTTGGTTCCATGGAAGAGTAATACCATGGAAAACAGCTTGTGTAGGTTAGGAATGTAACAGGATGTTCACCCAAGTCTGTCCAAAAGAGAATGAAGCTGCCCATTTTCTTTCCTTCACCACATGAGCAGCGGCTAAGCTGTACTGAGATAATTTGCTTGCCGGGCAGTCGACATCCAAGGTTTGGATGCAGAGTCTTACTGGAAGTAGAAGGTGACTCATCTGAGAGCAGTTAATCTACAATGCTAATTTAATTTGATGACTGGGATCAAATACTGTGTGTTTTGCTCATGCAAAATGTCCGCTAAACTTAGGAAAACCAACATGGGCTGATGAAGGTGGAATACAAGAAGTGAGTGGTAAGAGAGAGAAATAGGAAAACAGACAAGAAAGCCACGTTGACTTCATTGCACTTTTTTAGCAAAGAAGTAAAGGATAGGCCCTATTCCTTTTGATTTTCTGCAAGACTGCATCCCAGTAAAAAGTTCAGATGGTGGGCCCAGAATGTAGCATCCCATTTTCTGGTATCTATACTAGTGTGACAATGTGAGGTACACGCTTGGCCGTAATTCCTTCATCTCACCATTCATAGCTGGAGTTCAATGGCTGAAGTTAGTCAGAGTTGCAAAACAGGGAAGACTCTAAAGAAAGAAGTGTTATACGTGGTTGGGACAATTTCTCAAGTATAGGTATTGTCTTTAAAACTGTGCTAAATTTATAATACATCTTGGCCTAAATTCTGCATTACGTTTCCAGTGACAAACACTAGCACTACATTTCAACTTTTATTTATCTACATCTGTCAAGGCTGGAGTTCCATCGGATACATTACTTTTGATATGTTTTTCCTGTGAAAGAAACCATCGTTTTTATACAGAAGTGCATTCAATTCAGACACGTTCTGTTTTCACTCAAGGAACTGGTTCATGTTTGCTTAGAAAAAAAATTAAATATTTACACATTTGTGACTGCAAAGCTAATTTGAAAGCAGCCTTTAAATAACTCTGATCACATTAACAGATTGCTACCTTTTACCTCAAAATGACACCACTGCATTGCTATTTACTATGTTGCTATCTTCAGTTGAAGATACCCTGTCTGTTCATGTTTCTCTGTGGAATTAAAGCAGTCCTCAGCAGCAAAGGCACCCTGCATACCTGGAGCTGGTGTCCTTGATACTTTATTCCATCATGGAAGCTAGCTGATTATGTTGGAAGAATTACGCTGTATAGTGTAAAACTAAGCAGAGTGAAAGTAACAGGATAAAGATTAACAAAATGATCTTTCTTAATTAAGGCTTTAAGAAGAGGAAATTGCTGATATGCCTTCTCAGAAAGTAGTTAAATGAAAGGGAAATGTTCTAGAGACATCTGATGTAAATTAACAGATATGGTGCATTATTATTTATTAGTTGGAGAACACCCAGCAGATGTCTTTAAAATTTAGAGATGCAAATTACCCATCATAAAAGCACAACAAAACTACTAATGCCTTAAAAAGAGAGAGTTTGGGGTGTCCAAAGGCAGAGTTTAAGTGGAAAGCACAAGCACTGGTTTGTCTTCTGTTCCAGTGGAAGGTTTGTTCTGCCCACTTTTATGCTGATTTTATTGCTCTGCAGAGTATGGTAAAAAGTACTTCAGTAAACCCAAGCGGTTTCACCTCCATGCACCTTTCAAATATATCTTGGCTTCCTGACTTCTGCAAAAATGATAGTTTCTTAAACTACTGCAACAGTATTATTGTGAGCAATTTCTGTTTGGAGTGAGTGCATTTCTATTTTGCAACTTCACAGACTTTGTAAGTAAAAATGTTAATGACCAGGGACTACTTGAAGAAGTATATAAATCGAACAAATTACCACGTACAAGGTTCCTACCTGATATGTTTTTGGAGGAACTACTGGGATTCAGAAAACCAATCTTTATTTGTTTAGCTACTGTTATTTGGCTGTTAATATTCATGTTCAGCAATTAAATAATTGTTCTGTTGAGTAATTACTTAGCTAAATAAGTATTGCAGGCCACTGGTGCATGGTAAGTTAAAAAAGCCAAGTTAATTGGGTAAGATAATCAAGAGAGTTGGACTAATTTAAGAGAAAAAAATCTCACTGACTCTTCCTCCAGGTGTTTCCAGCCAGTGGTTTTAGCCCTTTTTTAAAGTTGCTTAGCATCCCTCCTGCTGCCCTTCTACTGCCAATAAGAAACTGAAAATCATTTAGAGCTTGGACCTGATCTTTCATTCTCTGTATATCCAGTAAACAAATGGTCTCTAATTGCTTCCCGAGGGTCAGATTCTCATGTACCAGTATCTTAAATCTGGTAAATCAGTGAAATTACTCTTATCACTGTGGCAAGAAAACTATGCCATTGTGGCAGGGGGTAAGATTAATATTCTGCCCATGCATGGCTAACACCAGTTACTATTCACTCAGGTATTTCCTCAGCTGTGTGCATCATATGCAGTATATCATCACAGTATTTTGCAGTTATCCCTGGCACTGAGGACAACGTGACAATCTGGCCTTAGTGGTGTTCTTTGTGCTGCCATGAAGATAAGGAGTAGAAATCAAACTGGGACATTGTGAAGCAATTGGTAGGCTTCTGGGTTGCCATTCAGGAGATCTGTGCTCAATTCCTACCTCTTGGCTGAAGTTTGTAGACGCTAGGCCCTGCAGGGCAACGATTACATTTTAGGCTGAATCTGTGTATGTCACACAGCAGGGCCACGAACCCTCTAGCCACCGCTGTAACACAAAACCCGTCCTTATTCCAGCCCAAAGGCCACATGAAGTCAGATGCACATACATAATCTAAAGGCAGAATTTGGTTTTCAGATTAAAATCCATATTCAGTTAAGATGCTCTGGAAACATGGCATGTTTCTGTCACTGATCTACCCAGTAGAGTATGAGTGCATATCTCACTGGCACCCCTCTTCACCCTATTCCTACCCCTAGGAATTTTTATTATTATCAGATCAAGAGACAAAATATTTTTAGGTCTTGGGTCCAAAAGGCAAGAAGGATATTTTTGATGCTGGAGTCCAGCTCACAGCGCAAGCAAGCTACAGGCAGGACTGCCATAACTCAAATAATGGTGAAATAGTAGATGTAGATTAAGTGGAGGCTTTCCTGAAAAACTACAACTCCCTCCCCCCCAAAATCCACAAGAGGTCAATATTTAATCGTGATTTTAAAATTCCACTAGTAGATGATGCAAAATG